TAGCAGGGTCTGTTGTAATAGGATGAGGAGTGACGGCTTTAAACTAAAAGAGGGGTGATTCAGGCTGGATGTGAGGTAAAAATTCTTTATAATGAGGGTGCTAACTGGCACAGGCTGCCCATAGAGGTGGTGGATGCCCCATCCCTGGAGACATTCAAGGCCAGGCTGGGTGTGGTTCTGGGCAACCTGATCTAGTTGAAGATGTCCCTTCTCATTGCACGTGGCTGGACGACATGAGCTTTGAAGGTCCCTTCCAACCCAACTATTCTATGAATCTATGAGTCTATGTTTGGAGATTGCTATTACATTTTCCTTCAGTTTTATTCTTTTTCCTTAGACTAAGAAACTGGGAGCTTTTCAAGTCCTCCTTTACAGGTCATGTTTTCTGAGCTCCTAAATCATTGTTGTTGCTTTTTCTTGGACTTCCTTGGCTAATTCTCGAGTTCAATACCCAAAACTGAATGCAGTATCCCCATAAACTGGCATCTAGCCAGGGAATGTGTAGAACAGATTCTCTGTGTCTTACCTATAACACATTTGTAGATAGTGTGACTTTTTTCCTCCCAAGAATCTGACATTGTTGTCTGACATGTTTTTTTCATTCTCAGGTCTTTTCCTTGCATCACTGCTGCAAGCCAATCCTTTCCCATTTTATGTTTGCATTTGATTATTTTGTAGCATGCTCTACTTACCCATATCAAAGCGCATCCTATTTTTCAAAGCACTGTGGCAATTCTCAAGATTATTTTAAGTTCTAAGGCTATCCCTAAAAGAGCAGCATCTCTTACCATTGAGTCATTTGAAAATATGATCAGGTTATTCATTATTTCTTCATCAAGTCATCAGTGAGTCACTGAGTGATATTAGATAGAACACAGACCTCTCTGGAACCCTGTCTTCAACCCTTCCAGGTCAACACAGAAATCTTACTACCTTCCTTGTGAATACTGCTGTAACCTTTAGCAGTTATTTCATCAGGACTGTCTACCTTGCTTGCGTGAGTGTCATGCAAAATAGTGTCAGAAGTCATGTTAACTCCTGTTGCCTCTGCTTACCAGAAGCCAGTTACTACAGTGACTGAAGCTGCCTTGGCATTGTTTATACACCTTGGCTGTTTCTGATGATCTTTCTTTCCCATAACTACTTGAAATGGGTATATTTGTTCTCTTATCCATCTTGGAATAAAAGTTACACTTTACAGTTTATAGTTTCTTGTCTCCCTCCCCTTCTTCCCTTATAGATAATATACTAGGCAGAATGAACCTGACCAGAGATCTAATCAGTACAGTGACTGCAAATCATAGAATCACAGAATGGTTTGGGTTGGAAGGGAGCTTAAACATCATCTCGTTCCAATCCCCCTGCCATAGGCAGGGATACCTTCCACTAGATCAGGTTGCTCAAAGCCCCATGCAACCTGGACTTGAGCACTTCCAGGGATGGGGCAGCCACAGCTTCTCTGGACAACCTGTTCCAGTGCCTCATTACCCTCATAGTGAAGAATGTGAAGAATTTTTTTCTAAGCTCTCACCTAAATCTACCCTCTTTCATCTTAAAGCCATTCCCCCTTGTCCTGTCACTACATGCCTTTGTAAAAAGTCCCTCTCAAGATTTCTTGTACCCCCTTTAGGCAGTGGAAGCTGCTCTAAGGTCTCCCCAGAGTGTTGTCTTCTCCAGGCTGAAGAAGCCCAGCTCTCTCAGCCTGTCTCCACACGTGAGGTACTCCAGCCCTTGGAGCATCTTTGTGACCCCTAAATCATTTTATCCTAAGTAGTTGTCTGAAACAGGCCAAGTGAATGATGCCCTAGAAGTGTTTGTTTCTTCACTGGTTGCAGAAGCAGCAGCCTAGGGTAACCTGTTTCATATGAAAAACTACACAGTAGGTGCCATTCAAAGTGTTTTGGTATAGCTGGTCTGATGACGGCCATGGATAGATACCCATCCCAATGGATGCATTCCTGCTAATCCAGGGAGACAAGATGGCAGGAAATTACATCAAAAATAATCTGCTGCTGCTAATTACTGTTCATATCCCTGAACTGTCTCTACAATTGAAATACTTAGCATCTTCTGATGAAAATAATGGGATTCCTTCAGTAGGACATAGGACTAAAAGGACTCCTAGATTATCAGACAGGTTTTAACATACTCATTATAAGTGCATATAGAATTTACAGGACTGACTCTACTGCCACAGAGGACGAGCCACTCCCTTTACCCTAGAAAGCTACAGAAAACAGGCAGACACAAAGTAAGGAGTTACCTATTAAAATCTGCATTCTAGCCTTCCCAGAAGTCCTAAAATCTCTTTTGCTTATATCCATCTTTTTATGACTTTTGCTGTTGTATCAACCATGACTTGTTTTACTTTGCCTCTACAGTGCTGGCAGTGCTGTATTAAGATTCTGTGTTAGCGTTATGTCATAGGTCCATGGGTTTTGGCATAAATAATGCCCCTGTAAAAACCAAATTGAACCCTGACAAAGAAGAAATGTATTCAGGCAGGTTTGGTTTTGAATATATTTCTCTTTTGAACTTCTATATATAAAATCTATTTTGCTTAGCAATATTTAGTACATGAAGTATATACTCTCTTATCCCATTGGGTATCTCAAACAGTTGAAATGGGTTACCTGACACACTCTGGTAGCAAACTTTTAAACCACAATCTAACTAGGTTATAGTTACTTAAAAACTCCTGTGGCAGTAGAATGAACAGTCATAATGAACAGGTATTTAAATGTTACACTAAATAATATCATTTTAGTGAGAATTATACGTCCTTTGAAAGACAGATCTTTTTCCTATCTTTAACCAGTAATCTTTTCTGTAGACTGGCAGAGTCTGTAGAGAGAGGTGATACTTAAGACTTGTAAAAATACCTGCTAATTTGTCTAATGCAGTAGTAGTTGACAAAGAACAAGATGGTATTTTCACCACTGACTTAAGCTGATTTAAGAGTGGGCTGTTTCCAGGTGTGCTCCCACCGTCACTCCTGCCTTTAGCACTCCTTGTGCCTGTGCTAACTGCTGCAACCACACAGTGAGTTGGATCAGGAACTGATCTGGACAAAAACCAATCTTTCAGTCCCTTTGGTTTTCAGCTGCATCAGTTTCCTGTTCTTACTCAGTGTTGCACACATGCCAAAAAGAGCTAGACTGCAAAGCAAGGAGCAAAATGAATGCCATGATCTGCAGCTTGTCCAGAATTGGTTTAGACAAACCCTAAGACTGCAGGCAGACTGAAGGATGGAGTTTCAGCCTTTAGTTTTCTATTTCCTTTGGGGGTTTTGGGAGCAGTGTAGATGTTACAACAGATATAATGTTACCATTACAAATCTCTGTTACTTATTAAATTACTGCCTTTGTATTATCTTGAGTTTCTCATAGTACTCTTGATTTGGATGTAGATTCTGCCACTGTAAAACCCTGATCCTGCAGTAAGCTCTGAGGTTCACAGCACAGTGTAGCCTGTTACATGGAACAGGTGTAACTGACTTCTCACAAACATACCTGTTTTTGTGGCAAGTGAAATGCAATGTGCAGCTTTAAAGACTCAGTGTCACTTCCAGCTACAACCAACCTTGGAGTTCTATTTCCTCATGGCTGGTGCTTACTAGATAATTATGGGGAGTAAATACTTGTTTGGGTTTTTTGTTGTGTTTTTTTAAAAAAACAAAAAAAAAACCAAACAGAAACATGACAGCTATTCCAATCAGATATGTTATCATCTTACTCTTCTCTTAGTTAGCAAGAGGTTGAAAACTCTTATCAATATTAAGGTACATGATAAGGAAGATAAATTATTTAGAGCTTTTAAAGATAGCTGCCAGAGATAATTAAAACTTTCCAAAGCATTTTAATTAACAGGCTGAAAATACTATAAATTAATCTAAACTGCTTTGCTATCTTCTCTGACTAAGAGTATTTATTGAAATCCCAGAATTCTTTTAAAAATACAACCAGGAATTAAATAGTTTATTTTTGTTTCAAAGGATCGTTACAGCAAAGAACTGGATATTGTTAATGTCCTCATCTATCATTATCAGTGTCCATACAGAGAGTCAGTTTGGGAAAAAGAAGCTGTCACCAGTAGTTAGCTTCCTTGTTTGAAACTTCTCTGGACTTCAGAAATTACAAACAGACAGCTTTCTGTTTTCCCATGATTTGTGGTTCTGCTCCCATCATAGCTTTAAATTACCTTTCATGCTTTCCTATGTTATATGCACATTGCGGTGCTACCGTAGATCCATTCTACCATCCTCTCTTGAAAGACTTGCTGAGCTTTTGAAGCTTGAGCCTCTCCTGAGGCAACAGTACATTTTAAATGTTCTCTAACGGTGCCCGTGACTCTTTTGGAGCACCATGCATGTGTGTCCGCCCACATGATCTGTGCCATTACCAAAGAAATAATCTGTTTACCCACCTCTACAGCATCCATGTCTGAACTGGTACTGCTGGGCTTCCTAAATAGTCGGTGGGGACCTATTCATCATAGTTAAGGAAGGCTAGCTATAGCTAGCGGTCTAAGTAAATCTAAATTATGAACCTATTTCAAGTATTTCCCTATTTCCACTGATTCTGCTGTAGCCTGGTGTACAAGCTCAGATGCAGGCTTGTAAAGCTGGGTGCAACAAGCCGCATTCTTAGTAAGCAGAACCTCTTATGGTGTAAGGTCCATCCTTCAGACACCAGTAACAGCAAGTGGTTTGGGCTGTCGAGAACAGCTCTGAAATACTTGTCTGTAGTGACAGCAATGGTGGGGCTGTCAATTTGGGGGGTTTTGTTTCTTCAAGAATGATTTTTAAAGAAGGATCATCTAGTCTGATCCACTGCATGATGTAAACTAGAATTTCACTAACCCAAAGTCAAGCTCCCCTAACTTGTGGCCGAGCTAAAACTTGTAATGAGGAGCCGCAGGGCCGCCTCCCTCCCTCCTCCTCCTCCTGAGGGGACTGCTCCGAGGCTAGCTACCGGCTTTGGTAGAGGCGCGGGACTTACACGGAAGACGCCGACATTCGGGCTAATCTTGAATTGTAACTTCTCGTACGTTTTAAATGGAAACGAGCGCGTCTGTACCCAGAGCGGGTACCCGGCCATGGCGGCTCGGCCCCGTGCGGGAGTTCCCTCTCACACACGGGGGAAGCCCCTCATCACCACAGCCTTCCTCCCCCCCGAGGGCAGTGGAACTGTCGGCTTCCCCGCCGTTGCCTTGCAGGTGAACGCGCTGGACTATACCAACCCCGCCTTGCGGGGGGAGCGGAGGGCTTTCCTCTCCTCCGCCTCCTCTTGCAGCGCTCTAGTCCAAAGCAGCCAGGCGAACAGTCGAGACTGTAGAGACGGCTGCAAAAGGCGGTTGGTTTGGCAGAGCTCTTGGGGCGGTAAACCTCTCCCTCACTTTTTTGCGCAGAAATGGTAGTTACCCTCCCATCCCGCTGCTGACCAACGGGCTCGACTGCAGCAAAAGGGAATGTACCAATGCCTTCACCGGAGGGGGGAGAGGCGGGGGGGGAGGCGGGGAAGAGGCGGTGGCGAGGTGTGGCGGGAAGCGCTGTCCAGCGAAAAGGCACCCGGCTTCCCCGTGCCCCCGCCGGCCGCCAGCTGCCGCTCTCTCCGTGCTGGGGGGAGGCGGTGCCTCCGGGAGCACGGCAGCGGCGCACCCGGGGGCCGCAGGGTTAATGGGCTAGGCGCAGCCGCCGCCGCGGCGGGGGGAGGAAGGGTGAGTCTTGGGTCCTCCCCCCTCAGTGTGCGCGGTGCGTGTGTAAGAGGCAGCGCGCACCCAGCCGCGCGTGTGGGAGGCCGAGGGGTAGCCGCCACCCGACCCCAGCGCCGTCTCGCCTTCCCTGCTCTCAGCGCTCGGCGGGAGCAGCGCCAGCCGCCCCCTCAGCGCTGCCACTCCCCTCCGCCGCGCCGGGCTGCTCCGATGCTGCCGCGGGGCCGGTGAGTCCGTGCCTGGATGCTCATCTCCTTCTCCTCTCTTCCCTCCCGCAGGCGGCGGCAGCGGCTCCGGCTCCGTCTCAGCTCCCGGCCGCCTCCGAAGGGATGCTGGAGAAACTAGAGCTCGAAGATGAAGGTAAAAATTAGATAAAGGGGGGGCCCGGGAGCACACCCACTCCCAGCGGGGCGTGGGCAGCGGGAAGGGAGCGGGGTATCCCCGGCTGGGAGCCAGCCCCGGGGCGAGCCATGCCCGGGCCGGCCGCTGTGCCGCCGGCTGCGCTGGCCGTGTCCTTGGAGGGCGGGTCGCCAGCCTCCCCCTTCCACCCCGGCGCGATCCCTCTGCGGTGCTTTTGTCCCGGTGGGTGCAGCCGGGCTGTGGCTGCAGCCGCGTTCGTCCTCGCCATCGGAGCCGAGGGCAGCACATGTCTGCGCCTCAGCGGCCGCGGCCGCTTCGGAGGGGCGTGCTTTTCATTTACGGTTCTAGTGAAGACTGAGGGGAAGGCAACCTTCATGTCATACCCTCTTCCTCCCCCTCCCTGTAAAATACTCATTCTCCTCGAATACGTCTGCGATACCAAATATAGACTTTGAGAGTGAGGTGCGAGCGGTGGTGGAAAGCTTTTTCAACTCAAGCTTCTACTCCTTACGGATATGCATACATCTGTTTAAAGCGGACAGCTGTAAACTAAATTTTCCTTATGTGGCTGCTTTCTTACGTTGCTCTTGGCTGCCCTATAAAGAGCTGCAGCTTTAACGGAGTATGCTGTTATTGACAGGGAAACTCCTGGCAAGTTTTTCTCATGTGAACACGAAACTGCTGTGGAGAAGCATGGATGTTTTTCTCGAGCTTACCTCTGAAAGATCCATATGGGATATGTCGAGCATTCATTTTCAGGAGGGATTGGATTAGTGGATGCAAATGTGGATGTATAGCTAATCTCTGTGCTCAGTATTGTAAAATGGCAAAGGCTTCTTGGGATATGTTGTTTTTTTCTGTAGTTGGTAACAGCTATTTGTAAAATGTGGGACAAATATTTAAGGAAAACTTTGAAAATAGTAGGCTGAGTCATTCTGTGAAAAGAAATAGCTAAGCTGGTATGCTAATAAGCCAGCTTCTTGGTTACTAGTGTGCTGCCTGCATTTGTGGGACTGGTCTGAAAAAGTAACGCCTCTTATTTTAAGCTTTCTGTGAGCAAAGGAGGCTCTTAACAACTGGATTCCGTATGTTTTTTTCTTTAGGCATCCAGACAGAGTTTGAATTGCAATGAAATACTTGTGCCTTTGTGAAGCTTGAGCATGATTAAGTATGAATGCTTGGTGCAAGGGATTTGTTGCTAACTTGTAGGGTTTTTCCCACGTACAGGCTTATGAAGAGTTGGAAAGTTACTGACTTACGGTTTTGTGTTTTATTTTTTTTTATTTTTTTTTAACATAAAGCTTGTTCCTGCTTGGTAGGAGATCCTAAAACCTGCTGAATCACTAGGAGTTATGCCATTTTAAAAGGTATTTTAAGCATCTTTATAAATTTAGGTATCTTAAAATGGTGTATAGGTTAAAGCAAACAAATAAAACCCCAACTGGGAGAGAGTTAATTTTGAAACACCTTTGCAGTTTTAACAGTGTAACAGTACTATTTGGAGACACTTGATCGCACTGAATATCTGTATGTGTCTTCTAAAGCACTGCAATAAGATAATGGGAGTTCTTCAGAAATGTTAGTAGGCTTTTACATTTGTTCCCCGCTGTTTTCAGCCTTCTGTTTCGCTTTGTCTCAACTCATTTAGATTTAAAACTAAGGCTTTGTCTGTGAATACTCAAGCTGGGTGGGTGAGAGCAGTTCAGGGATCTGTCAAGAGATAATAGCAAAGCTGTGACCGGTTTGAAGTATTATGTGAATTTTGAAAGGAAGCGGTTGCCTTAATAGCCTTTGAGACTTAATGAAAGCTTCATTTTAAAGCTGAAAAGGATATAGGGTGCTGTACTGAGAAAGTAGGATGCAAGTAAGATTAAGAGTGTGAATGTCAGACCAAAACTTACTGTCCAGAATGCTTCTATATGAGGAGGCCTGTAGGAGAATCAAAGAAATTTGAGATGCAGATGAAAATGCGGCAGCTTAGTTGCAGTGCATGTTTTACGACCTAAATTTTTACACCAGTTGCTGTAGTTGTATTTGTGGTAATATTGGGGTGGGGGAGTAAACTGACATCTGACAGTATTAACTTCTAATGTTGGACAGCAAGTAGTAAGTGCTCAGAAGTTGAGAAACTTCTTTGCAACCTGGTAAGATTTAATGAAGTGGTTGTAGCCACACTATAATTGATGATCTTTTGTCAAACTTAAGTCTCTCTGCTGGTACCTAAAATTGTTAGCTAAATGAGAAACTTGAAACTTGTTTTGAAGCTGCTTTCCTGACTGCCTTTGCTTCTGAAAGCTTCCTCTTGCTAGCTTTCCAGTTCCTGTATCCATCAACAGTTGCTAACTGTCGTGTGTATCAAATTATGCTTGAAACAGAAAAGCTTAATAAAAGGTCTAAAAAATGAGGCTGTGTGCACGGAATGCCATCCAGTATGCTAAGATGGATTTTTGTTTGTCACTCTCAACAGTTACACAAATGAGAAATTGAAAGCAGAGAGGGCATTCATTTAATTTGGATTCTAATTAAGAGGGTCAAATTGAAAAGAAATGGTACTAGAAGGATTTATAGTCTAAGTAGTACTGTAATGAAATACGCAGAGTCTAGCCTGATGATGTGATTTTAGTAAAATGGTATTATCAACTGAAGGGCAGTTTTCTTCGTTATATGCAAAGAAAGATGCCAACTTCTGTACACAACTAGAATGGACAGTATTAGATGTGATATTATTGTCTCAGAAGGAAGCATTGGTCATTTTTTTCTGGTTTAAAACATCTTTACTGGCTGGATTCTCTAGGATTAGTGTAACTTTTTATTGGTGGGTCACTAGTTCTGTCTAGTGGCTTAATAATAATACTGCTCTTGTGGTGTGTACTAGCAACTGTTAATGACATGATGTTAAACAGCATGAACTGCACTACAACTGAAATGGGACAGGATAGACTGGATAGGCCAGTGGATATTTATTTTATTAGGACTCCCTAGAGGACCTTTTTCCCAACAGCACTCAGAGCAGGAAGTAAAAACTCTAGCATAAGAGGTCCAGGACCTCTTTTTAACTGAAGGATGCTGTGTTTAAAAGTAAACAGAAAACTTGTTAAATACTCATCCTACTCAGTATTCCTTGGATGGGAACTAACTACCTGTGTCTCCTCAAAAAGCATTGAAGCTACCTGTTGGTGGGTGTGGAGTTTCTCACTGTAGCCTGAAATAGTTTGTTGCTGATAGACCTCTCACACACGTATATAAATGATCAAACCCCAGTGTTCTCATGCATATTGTGGGTTTGCTTGTTCAGCTCCAATGTTTGTGAAGTCAAGTTTCTATAGTAAGGTTGCTTTTTCTTCTGAACAGTGTCAAGAGTAGTCTTGAGTTTTATTTTACGGAGGATACTATGAGCTTGGAGAACAGCAAGGAGAGATTATTTTGAAGATATGAAAAAGGGCTTTAGTTAACAATTTACACCTATTAACTTTGTTAAGCTGAAATTCCAGAAATTGTTGTCTTCCAGTGGCTACCTGTGCTGTGAGAGGAGAAACTGGATTACAGTAGCAAATGAGTAGCAAGCACATGCCTGTCAATTGTTTTGATTTAATTGGTATAGTTTTAGCATGTCATTTTGGAAACTAGTTTTGTTGCAGTGTTGGCTCTCATCCATGTTAATCTCTTCCATTTGCTCATCTTGGGTAATAAAGTAGTAGCTACTAAAAAGCAGAATTAACTACTTTTCTGTAGCATCTGCTAACTCAGGGAGGCTTTCTGAGGTATTCTCTGCAGACAGAGTTAAGTTAATTGCGGGGTTCTCCTGGATCTGCTCTCAATTTGTAATCAGAAAAAAGAATTCTGTGAAGTGCCTGCAGTGATTGTAGCATCAGCGTCATGGGACTGATGCACTTGCTCTTCGATGCTCTACTTCTCTGGATTGCTGCAGAAAGCAGCATTTAGACAGTCATTTGATAAACAGTTTGCATTACAGTGGAATTTCTCCTACTAATGCTCTGGCCTTCATCTCATTCTTCCTGTATCATCCATCTCTTCTGTTGCTGCTTGTTTCTGGGTGTCTCCTGAAATAGACTTTTACCAGTAATTGCGTCTCCTATTAACTAATTGTTGTGTTTGGGGTCATTCCTTCCTTGCTATGTAGATTTTCCTATTGTTTTGTATTAGATGTAGTTTCTTATATGGCTCTTCCTGTCTGCCAACCTCTTGCTGTCAGCTGTATATCTGCATCAGTGTATGAAAACAAATGCCGTTGTGAGGCCAAAAATAGTTTGTAATAAAATGCATGTTAGTGCACATACTAGGTTTTGTTCAATTCTTAAGGCTGAAGGATTAGGTGCTCAGGGTAGGAGATAGTGAAGTTAGGGCATTCTTTTGCAAATGTGTTTAATTTCTAATGAACACTCATTATGTGATTCTTAAAGCTGATGCTTTCTGGAGCACAGAAACAGCATCTTGCCCACAGTATGTGCTTTGAGGTATCTCGGCACATTGCCATAGTGATAGGGGGTGTTTTACATGAACTTTTCCACAGCAGATGAGAATCCTATATGGACATAGTGAGAAATTAGATGGAGATAATTGGTATTAACAGACTTCATGTGGTCTTAGAGCTTGCAGTTATTTTTTTCTTCCCGCTTTAGAGTTATTTTGTGGTGTAATATGAGAGGCACAGTAGCAGATTATAAGAAAATCTGGTTCTTGGTGCTTTTTATTCTGGCTGTGTGAACTGAAGTAACTCTGAACTCTTGCATCTGAAACTATGGACCACTGCGTCCATAGTAACTTCCACTGAAGTTACTCAGCTTATATTTTTCTGTCATTTTACAACAAAGAATATCAACAGGGCAATGGACTTTCCTGTGATGTACTTTCCAGGGTTGTTAAAGAGCAACATATCTGGAGTATTCAAATGTTCAGCTTTATTAGATCATGCAAGAAATTATGACAAAGTGCTCCACTGTCCTAGGCAGCCGCATGTCATTTGTCTGCCAGTTTGCTAT